CCCGACCAAGTATTGAGTGCATAACTGAACATGATTATTTGAAGGTTGGCGTTTTTTGTATTAAAAACACTTGTCTTTCATTGGTGGGATGAAATATGCTAATTTTTTGGGACAGGCATTTTGGGTTTTCATGAGCTGTATGCCATAATCATCAGTATTAAAACAATTAAAGACCTGAAATATTTCAATTGGTGTGCAATGAATCTGAAATATATGAAAGTATAATTTTTATCATTACATTATGGAAAATAATGACCTTTATCACAATATGCTAATTTTTTGAGAAGGACCTGTGTATATATATATATATATATATATTTTTTTTTTTCAAAAAAGCCATATTGACAGATCAAAGTCAAGGGGAGAGCCACGATATCACCCCAAGTCACTTAAAAAAGAAAAAAATAATGAACAACCCACCTATGAACAAAAAGAAACAGCCAGCACATTATCTTTTAAACAAAATGTACATTAGTACCGAGATGAGCCAAAGCTGTGCTGCATGTTCTTGACTTTCTTTATGTTGCATTTGTAATTAGTTGTTGCAGCCACAGTGAGGCATTCACGATGGGCATGGGTCAGTTGGTTTCTCTGATTTTGCTTGAAAATGTTCATTGTTGAAAATGTTGATTGTGTAAAAATGTCAGATTTTAGCTATTACCCCAACCACATGAAGAAAACACAAGTCAACAATAACAATGAATACCAAAGTCCATGCTCAACAATGAATATGCTGTAATATGTGTACGGTTGAAGATGTCCCCTTCACATTTCCACCTGCCCCTCATGTAACCATGCCTAGAACTGGCCCTGTAAGATGCTCCTACTTCCTTCACCGCAGATGACAGCAGGTGTGGAGACACTAAAGGATGACATTTTTTTGGGAGTACCATGGGTCACGTGATTCCGGCCGGATTCCAGCGGGACCGGAGTCAACCTCATTATAACTCACGTGACCGGGACGTGACTGGACTGAAAGCTAACGGGAGCAGACTGGTGCGGGAACCGACCAATAACCAAAAATGAAAATGAAACAAACAAAAAAAAAAAAAAAAAAAAAAAACCACGGGCACAGCTATTTTGTAGTTTTCTTTCAGTAAGTCTTCACTTTAACGCAAGTCAAAAGAACTACATTGCCCAGAAGTCAACTGTTCCAACCGTAGCTTTTCACCGAGAGGGTGGGAGGAGCAGCGATGTGGTACCGAGTAACTGAAAATAGTTTGTAACACAAGGTAAGAAGTAACTGTTTATACATTAAACTCACAGAACGGGCAGGAAAGTGTCAAATAACCTGAACTTCATGAGAGTTGTGTTTGTGCTGCTTTAAACTTTAGTCTCAGCTGCAGTGAGGAGCTGCTTTGTTTACCATCAGTAAATAAACTCAAACAGCGCATTTTTCTCCACCTTGTCCCTTTTAATTTAAAAATATACTCTGCTTTGTTATGTGGGTTTTTTGGTTAAAATCTTCATTATCTGTCACTGTTTGTAATGTAAAAAAACAAAACGAAATCTTCCTGGTTAAAGTGCACACATTCTCCAGTAAAAATATTCCTATTTTTATATTGTGACGTCCTGCTGGATACTGAAATAGAGGAAAACTTGAATAACCATCACTTGATTGTGTAAATAGTTACTGTCGGCTGTAACTATGTCAGTACAACAACAAACTCTTTAGTGAAAGCATTCTCTGGTAAAAAATATCCGTTTTTATATGAAAGGCTGGTTGCATATATATTATAATAATTGTTTTAGTTTTAGATTTAAGATATGATGTGTACAATTATGTTGTTGTGTTAAATTTTAGGCCAAGAGTTTATTTTTCTCAGTTCATTTCTTCACACCAGGGGCGATTCTAGAAGCACTTTTTAGGGGCCTTAGCCCCCCAGTGTTGACAATGGCTCTTGGCTTGAACCACACAGTGAGTATTAGGGTTAGAATTATTGCGGGGGGACATAATAGTGAGGTCTGTGGGTCCTTCACCATAACTTTTTGAATAAAGTAGCTGCTATTTCCTGCATTCTGGTGTATTTTAACAGGTTTTAAAACATTTATGTTTACCTACATAAGTAAATACTTGATTCATTAACTGTTTTATAAAGCATGGCACAAGAAGTAGCACTAACCTTTTTGTTTGTCTTTAATTTAATTATATTTTTCTACCTGACACAGGAAGCTGTTAGCTCTGGAAGCAATCTGTTAAACAGCTTTGGACACAAAGACCCTTGTCACACACTTCAACAGAGCAGGTAAGATACATCAAATATTGTAATCTCTGCCTGGTGAGGCTGATTAAATAATTATAAAATATGATAAGTGAAATAAATAAAGAAAATTTAAGCTACTGTAATTTATAATTGAAAATGTCACATTTTCTAGACTTAGTTTCAATTGTAAATCTTGTTTTTGATTTTAAAAAAAATTCCAAAAGAAAGGCCAACAAATTGTAATTTGTAGTCACTGTAACCCTGTTTTGACTTGTGCACTGTCTTCTTTCACTTTTAGGTTCCACAAGGCTCTGGACTGGTCCAGCTGTGGAGAGATGAGGTGGAACACCAGACCTGCAATGGTCCAGTCTGTAAATGATGCTCTGAAGTCTGGGAAGATGCACGACATCATGCTTCACTGAAACGAGCTCGTTACTTCGACCACATAGACTGAACTTCTTGAGGACGCCGTCCAATGTATAATAATACCTTTAAACATTTTTATTTGTTGAGTTCTCTGCTTGGTACATTAGTTTTCTTTTTTGTTTTTGTTAGTTTGTTTGAACAATTTAAAACATGACAGTAATGTCACTGTTTAAAGGAAACAATTGCTCAATAAATTAGTAAAATGCAACTTGTTCTGTTTGGGTTCTTTCCTCTAAGGTAGACATGGTGTGACCCATGTACTGGTTTAGATTTTTTGTTTTTACTGTAACTGACCTTCAAAAGAGCCAGAAACAGGGACTCAGCAGCTGATCCTCCGTAGAAAAATTATATGGACTATAGGCCATGGATTATTTGTTTTATGACATTTAGTGAAGGTTTTTTTTTTCGGATTAAGGAAATAAATGTCTCTATTTCATCACAGATGAACTGTTCCTGTTGACATATCTTTTGAAATAAAACTGCACAACACAAAGTAATTTAAATAGGAATGGGTAGAAGATCAAATCAAATTCAATGTATTTCCTAAAAATTAAATGAAAAACAGGAACAGGACAGGAGTGGGAGTGATTCTGAACAGGAACAGGACAGGAGCACGAGTCATGTTACCAGGAGTGGGACGGGACAGGATTAATTTCTGTGGACCAGGACAGGACAGAAGTGAAAATCCACTCCTGTGTCATCCTCTAGGAGACGTGCGCGGCCGCTCATACATCTGAGATTAACAGGGCGTTTTTTAAGTCTTTTGACCGGCGGATCAGTGGACACGTTTGGCGGATGATGATCAGCTGATCCATCTGAAGTTTAACAGGACTTTTTTTTCTTTTTACCTCTACCTGCCGGTTGGTCCTGCCTCCTCCTCAACAAGTAGATTAATTCAATTTAATTCAGTTTATATAGCACCAAATCACAACAAAGTTGTCTCAAGGCACTTTACAGAAACATTCACATACATAAAAGCCATATACTATTTCTATCTTAACATAAATCTTGATCTGTCATTGTGTATCTGTTCCTACCAAACCCAGCCGGTCGAAGCAGATGGTCGCTTGTCCTGAACCTGGTTCTGCTAAAGGTTTCTTCCTCATGAGGGAGTTTTTCCTTTACACTGTCGCCTTCATGCTTGTTCAAGATGAAGGTTCTGCGATGGAGTTAAATTCATTAAATTCAGTATGCTCCTCAGATATAGTGTTAAATGATTATTTTATACATGAATGTTTCTGTTATTATTTTTATATATGAATGTTTCTGATCAGTGTCCTAATGTGACTTCTGTTGTGACTTGGTGCTATATAAATAAAATGAATTGAATTGAATTGAACTCTCATTGATCTTTAGCATTTGGTTGCTGTCTCTTAGTGATATTTGGTTGTTTCTTCAAAGAATCATGTCCCAAAACTTATCTATACACACAATCCACTGACTTTGCCACGGGCAGCTGTGGATGAGTGGTTAGAACAGTTGTCCTCCAACAGGAGAGTTAGAGTTTGATTCCACATGTTGAAGTGTCCCTGGGCAAGACACTGAACCTGTCATTGCCTCTGATGTGTGTCCCATCGGTGAATGAATTGGATCTAAAAACTGATTAGTCTCTACAAATTCAGATTAGCTTTGTATAGATCTAGTAGTGTGCTGTATGAATGGGTAAATGAGGGCACAAGTTGTATTGTAAGTGCTTTGAGTATCTTGATTAGATAGAAAGGCCCTATCTAAGTACAGTCCATTTACCATTTAATTCATAAAGTTTCAATTACTCAGTCAACACAACCAGCAAGCTATCAACTTAATACAAGTAACAGGATTAAGCTAGCTAACTCAGCTGTTATTTGCAGGAGTTCAAATTTCTCAGCTAAGAAGACCCAATTTAAATCAACACTTAAAAGGGCAGCAATACAACAGTGACAAATGGGTGATGGGTTATTTTGAGTAATATATTATATGAACCTTGGTTCATAAAACCTTAGCTCGAGGCCTTATGTTTCAGAAACATAGAGTCTGAGAGGAACAAATTTGTAATGCTGGGCTCTTGTCTTTACTCACATGATGATGTCCATGATGATTTTCATTAGGGGGTGCTAGTGAGGCAGAGGTGGTTGTCATGGCAATAGTGGACACGGTAGTCTGTAGGTCACCAAATAGGCCCTGCTCACCAGAGTCCATTACCTATTAACAGAGTAGAGGATATTTTCTTGTCAGGATTGTACACAAAGTTTAAAATTTTAAATCTATAAATGGGATGTTTGAAACATCCATCCATCCATCCATTATATTTAGCTTGTTCCGAAGCCAGGTCACGAGGGAAGCAGCTTGAGCGGGACGCCCAGACATCTCTTTTCACAGCCACCACTTCCATTTCTTTTGGGAGGATCCAAGGTATTCCCAGGCCAACCAAGAGACATTGTCTCTCCAGTGTGTCTTGGGTTTTCCCTGGGGTCTCTTACCAGCCAGACATGCCCAAAGCACCTCCCAGGGAGGCACCCAGGGAGCATTCTTAATAGATACCTGAACCACCTTAACTGGTTCCTCTCGATGTGGAGGAGCAGCGGTTCTATTTTGAGTCTTTCCCGATAACTAAACTTCTCACCCTCTCTCCATGGGAGAGTTCAGCTACCCTTCGGATGAAAAGCATTTCAACTGCCTGTATCTGCAGTCTTGTTCTTTCGGTCACTACCCAAAGCTTGTGGCCATGGGTGAAGGTAGGAACATAGACAGACTGGTAAACAGAGAGCTTTGCCTTACAGCTCAGTTTCTTCTTCACCAAAATGGACTGGCAGGGTTTTCAATACTGCAGATGCTGTACCAATCTGTCAGTAAGTCTTACGCGCTTTTCTTCCCTCACTCATGAACAAAATTCCAAGATATTTGATCTACTCCATTTGAGGCAGAACCTCAGCCTCAACCCAAAGAGAGCAATCCACCCTTTTCTGACTGATGACATGGCCTCAAATTTGGAGGTGCTAATTCTCATCCCAGCTACTTCATACTCAACTGTGAACTGTTCCAATGAGAGCTGAAGATCACAGCAAGATGACGCCAACAGGACTACATCATCTGCAAATAGCGGAGATGGAATCCTAAGGCCACCGAACCAGACTCTGCCCCCTGGCTGCACCAAGAAATTCTGTCCATAAAAGTTACGAACAGAATCAGTGACAATGGGCAGCCCTGGCGATGTCTAACTTCCACCTTGGATAAAGCCTTACTGCCAGTAATGTGAACCAAACTCTCGCACCTCTTGTATTGACCTTTACAAGAGATCCTTCCTGTTTACAACCATCAGTGTCTATAACATCTCTTAATGAAATGAGGATAACGAGTTACAACAACAAATAATTTCCCTCTGGGATTATTAAAGTATTTTTGAATTGAATTGAATTGAATAGAGACTGAACAGCTGATAGCAGCGGGCCCCCCAATCCCATACTTGCAGAGCAGCCCTCACAGTGTATCTTGAAGAACACCTTTGAACGCATTCTCAAAGTCCACAAAACACTCCAGACTAAAGACTACATGGGCAAACTCCCATGACCCCTCGAGGACCCTAGTGAAGATAAAAAGCTGTTCCAGTGTCCCAGAACCATGACAGAGCCCTCACTATTCCTCCTGGATATGAGTTTTGACCAACAATCAAACTAGCTTCTCAAATACCCCTGAATAGACCTTACCAGGGAGACTAAAGATATCTTCCCAAAAGGCAGTTTTTAGGCAGTATTAACGTGAGCCTAAGCCAAAACGTAACCTAAGGTGCCACTGACATCTTGTCCCTGACTTGCCACAGAACTTTTTAACTACCTTGGTGGCATCAAACATGGTTATGGAAAGACCAACCCCAAAGTCCCCCAACTCATCTTCCTCCCGTGAAGACATTCCAGTGGGATTGAGAAGGTCAGAGAAGTACTCTCTCTAGCGAGAAGCACCAACAACGTTGAGGCTACAGCTCAAGACAGCCACCTCAACAAATGAGGTGAAGAATATGGCCCACTCAGATTCAATGTCCCCTGTCTCAGCTGTGATACAGTAAAAACTCACCCAGAGGTATGAGTTGAAAAGTTGTCTGATGGGTTCTTCTGCCAGGAATTTCCAGCAAACCCTCACTACCAGTGACGGCTGGTGAATTTTTGTCCAGACGCTTAGAAGAAATTATAAATAAATTAAGCTCCTCCTCCTGCTGTCTTGATATCCTACACACAACTTTCCTTAAGAAAGATCTGCCTGTCATTGCATCTGATCAAATTCAAATAGTAAACTCATCCCTCATCAGGTGGTTTCCCCCAGGCTTTAAAAACAGCAGTTATCAAACCACTAATAGAAAAAGAACAGTGAGGTCAAATTACAGAATTACAGGCCAATCTCCAACCTTCCATTCATTTTTTTCTGGTTCTGTCTGCTCTGCATTCCCTGAACCAAACATGGATAAGCAGCATTCAGCTTCTATGCACCACAAATCTGGAACAAACTTCCAAACAACTGCAAAACAGCTGAAACACTGAGTTTCTTTAAATCAAGGCTAAAAACCAACCTGTTTAGAGTTGCTTTTGAACTAGAATAAATGGAACATTGATTAACGTATTTGATGGCTCTCAACAAAATGCAATGTTTGTTATTGGTTTCTCAATTGGTGATTATATGTTGTTGCCATGACTTGTAATTTTGTGTTTTTATGATGTAAACCACTTTGAACTGCTTTGTTGCTGAAATATGCTATACAAATTAACTTTACACACATATATATATATATATATATATATATATATATATATATATATATATATATATATATATTAGGGGTGTGAATCTCTCAGTGTCTGACGATCCGATCCGATTCAATTCCGATTTTTGGTGTCACGATGTGATTTAAAATCGATTTTTTTTAATTCGGAAACGATTTTCGATTCAGAAATGATTTTTCTATTGACATGGTCATAAATTTTCTTTAAATTATAATGTATATGTAACTGACAAGCTGAAAAGATTAAACAACAATGTAAACAAATAGAACATTTATTTAAAACAATCATTTTAGTTTCCATACTGTATCATCAAATCTTCACAGTCCCATATTGATTCATATTTAGTAAATATTTAAAAAAAAATTCTAAACCTGTGAAAACATGCACAAAAACCTCTTCTGGACAGTAATTTATAAATCATAAATTGTATCATTTAGAACTGGCTCCAGTCGATGTGTCTCATCTGGCCTCTTCAACCTCTTAAAGCTGAATTTTATTGGTTGTTATAACAACAACTGAAAGGGCTAGTTTTAGCAGTTTTCCTGTAATTAATTTTGCAAGTATTTGAATACTAGAAACATTACAAGGAGTAAAACATATTCACTTTCTTTTAATGTTTTATTTTTTCAAAATAGGATACGTCATTTTTCTACAATTAAAACAAATCACATAAGAATGCATAGTTTGTTTGTTTTTAGAAACTGGGCAAAATCTACATTATTTTTTTCCTTCTTTACAAGAATCTTGTTTTTTATTTTGTCTTAGATTGTAATATCAATAAACCTTAAATCATTAGATATTTTTAGTTTTATAAAATAACCCCACTGTCCAGAAAAGCACCCTCCAACCGTGGGCCACCAGTTGAGAATCCCAGTTGTAGCAGGTGTTGTGGCTCTGGATACGTTGAATTTAGTGAACAAATGGGCAGAAATTGCTCATTTGAGTGTAAAGGTTGCAGACCCCTGATGATATAAGTTCATAACATAAATAGTATAAAGCTTATTTTTTTTAATATTCTTAAATATTCCCTTAATATATTAAGGTCCCTCTTGTAAATGAGTCCCCGTGGCTCATTGAGGCTAGCCTGTATAAATAAAAGTTGAACCAACTTGTAAGAGGCTTATTTTTGTAGCAATGAGAAGAGTTGAGAGATGGATAAAGAAGGGTGACACTTTCTCCACTCCCCTCCACTACATTTATTTTACTTATTTAGCTCTTGTTAAAGTGGAGCACCAGCTGGTCAGTTTATTGACCAACAACTGAATTAATATTTTCACCGTTTAATCAGAATCAGTCACTGAAGTAGAATCTGTTCATTACAGGGAGTTTTATACCAGAACACATGAATATTCATCTGAATGAAGAGACCAAAGTTGTCTTTGTTTTATTTTTAAGTTTTATTACAAAAATAGTCAAACTAAAAATCAACAACAGTAATAAACAAACAATAATAATGAATCAATAAATACTTAATTCTCTTATCTGAGGCTAAATTGACTCTTTGAGCAGGAATTGTTTCAGTTTTATACGCGCATGAATTTAGACAAAGTTTGACTATTTGAATAAATAGTTTACTTTGGATTTTGGTTGAAAGAAGTTATTTAATGTGATCAGATAAAGTCATTTATCGTCACTGCAAGACAGGAAATGATTTATCAAGTTGCATCAGCTTAAAATAGCATAACCAGACGAAGGCATCATGTCACCAGGTTCTGCTCCTTACCGGGTCAGTGTTGATGGCACCAGTCACTCGTCTTTCTGGGGTTCTCTGGTGGATCTGACCAGTAACACCATGAGGAGGACTCGCTCAAGGTAGCTGACCATCACTGTGACAGCTTCAGGGGTCTGTGAGGGAACAGCTGATGAGAAGGTGCACCGTCCATCGCAACCTTCAGCCGAGAGCGTGAGTCTTGCAGTGAGAAAAGGCTTCATCTTCTGAAGTTATCTAAACTTCTAACAATTGTAATTTGAGCGACATGCTCATCTGCTCAGGAGTTGAACGAGTGGACCTTAGCACGACTTCTAGGATCGGGTCCAAAGATGAACCGCCTTCCGGTTTGGGGCCGGAGACGTTCCCTCCGTATCGGGAGTCCAAAACGAACTCTCCAGTTCGGGGGTCCAAGACGAACTGCTCTTTCACGCAAAGCGACTTTGTGCAAAACAACAGCTCTGAGAAGATTAGGAACATTGTGACTCCCCTCTGAAGAAAACAGCTTCCAGCTCAAAGAACTTTTTCACAGGTGTCTCTGAAGGAACAATCACTTTCTGAAAAACAGAACAAAGAAATATGTTATTCACATTGTAACATCTGACATGATTTCATTATATTGATTGAAAACAACAATCGAAATTATTCATGTTCACACTTGTTAATCAAATAAAACAAACTTCATTAATGATTTGTTTTTCTTTCTTAGAAACACAGTAAGAAACAAGATAAACATTAGTCAAACTGTAGCTGACTCTGTGTCCAAGGACAGGACATGTGTGGAAAAACATCAGACATTATTGAAGTCAAATGTAACTTTGAAAAACACGATTCATGGTGAGTCTGGAAGATGAATAAGGGTCAGGGGTCATAGTTAGAGCAGTGCAACTTCATGCTACACATGACATCCAGGAGAGTTTGGGATAGTTGGCCAATTCAAGGCCGACACAGGGGAGCCAGATTTAGAGTCAGAGATTCTTTATTGTCATTCGCACCTCATGTGGTACATGTGGTGGAGCGAAATTATGTACACAGGGTCCCAGTTACATCCAACAATAAAATGTATAAGAAAAAAACAGTAATAACATCTAAGATATGAACTAAGAAAAACATAAACTAAATATACACTAAGCACTCATAACAAAAAACATTGAACATCAGCACAAACATGAACATGAGTCTGTGAGCAGATGTGCACGCATGAACACATCGACATGAAACAGATCAGCAGCAACATGATGTGATTTTTCACAGTAATTATTCTAGTTAGATATTCATGAGTCTAACAGCCTCAGGGTAGAAGCTGTTCTTCAGTCTAGTGGTTCTGCACTCAATGCTCCTCAACCTCCTTCCTGAGGGGAGTGGGGCAAAAAGTGTGTGTGCTGGGTGAGTGAGGTCCTTCATGATGCAGGTAGCCCTCTTCCTGCATCTAGAGATGTAGATGTCTGTGATGGTGGGGAGGCTGACTCCGACAGATTAGATAACAACAGTTATTTTGGGTCAGGCCGACTGCTTGATTTCTGTCTGCCTTCTAGTTTTACTGGTACATCTCAATGGCAAATTCAAACAGCCATGTTTTTGTGGTCAGCATTGCTAGGCTGAACTTGTAGCTTCTCCAAAGTCAATTTTTTTCTTGCCAGCGAGTTTCAGGAACCGCAAATGGCCTGTGATTCTCAGAAATTGCGTCCAGCTTACGGCTCGGCTCACACAGCATTTGAGTCTGAGTGCTCATCGCACGGCAAATTCCATCACACAAGCTGGGCCGCCTCACACTGGCCAGAACAGCTGCTGACATTTTTCGCATTTGTCAATATGCCAGGTAACCACCATCTCCAAAAAGCAGAAATCCTGTTATCATAAATCCAATTATGTACGCGTCTTCTACATCCTCAACCAACAATACAGACAGACACACAATCTTCCACTGTCCCAGGAACCTATTGTGTAGCCAGTTGCAAGTGTCCCATCAGGGCAAGAGGGCTCTCCTTCACCCTATCTTCTTATCGAGAAAATTTTATCAGTTGAGTTGAGAGACCAGCTGACCAGATCCATAATTTACAGTTCGGAAGATATGTAAAGAGAGACTCCGATAAAAATCACTGGACAAAGAGCAGAAGCAAGAGGGAAAGTGTCCGCCTTTGTCTAGAGCAAGCAGGATTCCTATATACCCATATACCAGCAGAGAGTTGACGTTGCAGATGAGAAAAAAAAGAAATAGTACAATCACCGCCAGCAGAGGTGAATGGCAGGTCATGTACACAGGCGCACTTTCTCGCAAGTCTTATTAGCATGTAGGAATGTGCCAATAAAGAGTGAGTAGCACAAACAACACTCTACTTAGCCATTTAGGCCCTGTTTATACAAGAATGACATTTGGAGAAGTACAGTTTATTTTTGCTCTTAGTTTTATATTACACACTATTTCTGTGCTGCACACCATAGTTATGTTTCATGAGTAGAGTATAAAGGCTTTAGTACCTATGCATAAAGACAGGTTTCTTAATATTTGATGTCAAAGTTTACAACAAAACATTGAGCAATGTTTTATGCTAAGGGCATTTGTTCAGTAAGTACCACAACAAACTAGCTCAATATCTGAAAAATTAACCATTACTGTATACCCATTTTTGTGTTTCTAAGGTCTGTTGACCATGGTGGCCATCTGGAGTGACTCCAAAATTGAATCAAATGTAGATGCGTATCCAACAATCATTTTCCTATTGCTTCAATTAAAAACGTAGCACTTCTCAATATATTTTGCTAACTGAGAGATTCCAATAGCTAATTAATTTTTTAAACAAATCTTTTATGTTCAGTTTGCTCTTGTGATGGGTATGACTCTCAGTTACAACCAAACTGAATTCTAGCTCAATATCTGGTTTGGATATATCTATTTTTCTGTTTGATAAATTTGATTAGCTTTGATAGTCTTCTTGAATAGGGTTGCCTACAAAATGAAATAAGTTTGAGATGTTCATTCAATAATTACTTCCTGAGAGTTTCATTAAAAGTCATCCAATGGTTTATTACAAATTTTACTAACTGTGAGCAGGCAAATAAACACAGACACAAGTGAAAACATTATCACCACTTTGCCTTTGATGGTGGCTGATAAAAAGCCCAAGTCAAACACTGAACCAATTCATAGTTGTGTTCCATTATGGCTGTAAAGTACAACAAAAAAAGAAAAATCACACATTTGCAGCAATAGTAGTGTACCTGGCATTTGGACAATGTCTCCTGGCGTTTAGCTGGCATCTCATACACCACCTGTTTCCAAAACCTAGAGGACAGCTCATTGCTTTTAGGACCTTTCCAACTGATGATGGATAAGACCTTAAGAAGCAAAAAAATTAATAAAGAAAATAAAGTTTTTCTTTTTTCTTACAGCCAAAAATAAATGCTTAAATCATTATTTTCTTTCCTACCAAGAAGGATAAATTTTCTGTACCTTGATTGTATGTTTTAGTGCTTCAACCTCTTGGTAGTTCATGACATTCTTCAGGTTTGCACACTCAATCATGATCACCTAGACAAACAATACAGAGCAATGAAAAAAGAGAGGCTTTTTCTCTAACATACACTTTGTAAGTTTTTATTCCATCCTGGGCAGACACTGACACATCCATCCTCCTTTTTTAACTGGTGTACATCTTTATTTTATCCTCACCTTGACCTGCCCGGTTACCAGCATGGAGTGGAGGCGCGTCTCTACCTGGAAAATGCGCCACCCTCTTTTGGTGACAAACTCTGGAGTCAAAACAATTATCAGACGTCTACTCTGTTCCACACTGCGTGCCAGGTCCTCAAAGAGGGCTGGAAGAGAGAAATTAGGGAACACAAAGAACAGGACCATAAAATTAATAAAACAAAAATCCCTGTTTATGGCACTGAAGTCACCCTATCTTGTCTAAGTAGAGTCAGGCCTGGTTAGTGCTTAGATGGGAGATGAGACCGCCGGGGAATACCAGGTGTCATGAGCTCTGGTAGGGGCTGCTGTGGTGTACAATTAGGGAAGCTGACTTGGTACCAGAAGTGCGCAGGATCAACTCCCCACCTTGCCCACATGTTGTGGCATTCTTGAGCAAGACACCTAATCCTACAGAGGGTGGTGCAAACAGCAGAGGACATCACTGGTAGCAGTCTCCACACCATCCAGGACAGCTGATGTCTGCGTAAAGAATGCAGCATCATTAAGGATCACACCCACCCAGCACAAGGACTCTTCCGTCTGCTACCCTGAGGCAGACGATACAGGAGTCTGTCATCGTGTACCAAAAGACTAAAGGACAGCTATTATCCACAAGCTGTCAGATTACTGAACTCTCGATAAATAACACTGAACAACTGGCAACAACTGACTAATAATTCAACCTCAATGTCACTACCTATGCAATAACATGTCACACAGCCCGTGTGCTAATATATATGTATATATATATATATATATATATATATATATATATATATGTATATATATATGTGTATATATATATATATATATATATATATATGTATATATATATGTATATACTTTGTACTTTGTATATGTACATATCTCTTGAGGTCATTGTAAATACTATAATTACTTTTTCACTTTTTGGTACTTTTTTGTGTACCCTTATTGCATGCTTTTAGTATTTCTTGTTGGTTTGTTTTTTTGATTTTTTAGCGAATCAAATCAGTTCTTCTCATTGTAAGCATTTCATTGTACCATTAACCCTCTGTTAACCTTGCATATGACAAATTAACACAACTTGATCCCTAACTGCTCCCCAGGCACCTAATCCCTAACTGCTCCCCAGGTGCTTACATAGCTGCTCCAACTGAGTGTATCTCGTGTGATGAGTAAAATGCAGAGCACAAATTGAAACATACAATGATGACAACTTTTTTAAAATTGCCGTTAACCGTGCATTTAGGAGAGCAAAATGTATGGCTATAAGTATGTTTGTTCACTTTTTTTCATTTTTTACAAATGTAATTTTCCACTAGGGGGCACTTCAGAAAACCTGGGTACTTTATATAATGATTGGAATCTGGATGCAGCAGAAAAAGGGAATAGGATGTGTTAGAGGTTTTTAAATAATGCCAGAAAACATGTATGATTCATTACCACTGATGGTTACACAGTTTCTCTAAATAACTGCAAACTTTGAGCACAACAAGGGTTGCTGTGGCTGAATGGTTAGAGCCGTTGTCCTCCAATGCAAGAGTTGGGGGTTCGAATCCACCAGCAGTCACGTGCCGAAGTGTCTCTGGGCAAGACACTGATCCCCTCATTGCCTCCCATGTGCGTCCCATCGGTGTATGAATGTGATAAAGCACTGATTAGTCTCAGAATGATTTATTCAATTAGCTTTGTAGAGATCTAGTGCTGTATGAACGGGTAAATGAGGACACAGATTGTAGTGTAAAGCGCTTTGAGTGTCTTCATAAGATAGAAAGGTGCTATATAAGTACAGTCCATTTACCATTTACAATTGTTACTACACTGCATCTACTGATTACTTACAATTTGCATTATGTAAACAAAAACATGAATTAATCTTCTATTCCCCTACACTCAGTAGAAATTTCACTGAACCTGTGCTTATCTGCTGTGATTAAACTGCACATTTTAGAGTGGCCTTTTTTTTTGTGGCCAGCCTAAGGCACACCTGTGCCAGTGACTTCTGTTGTGACTTGGTGCTGTATAAATAAACTGAATTTAAACTGAACTGAATTGAATTGTGAAATCATGTTACAAAAAATGCCCCTAAAAATGTTTTGTACAGGTCTTTATTATGTATTGTATATACTGTATATGCACATGCTCTCTCAAAATTTGCAACATCTGTAGCGTTGTGCTGTGATTAAACTGCACATTTAGAGCGGCCTTTTATTGTGGCCAGCCTAAGGCACACCTGTACAATCATGCTCTCTAATCAGTATCTTGATATGCCACACCTAGGAGGTAGGTGGATAATCTTGGCAAAGGAGAAGTGCTCACTAAGAGATTTATGCATATGCGTCTGTAAATACATATATATGTATCTATGTATCTACAAATCGGATTCCAAAGAAGTTGGGACACTAAACAAATTGTGAATAAAAACTGAGTGCAATGATGAGGAGGTGCCAACATCTAATATTTTATTCAGAATAGAAAACAAATCACAGATCAAAAGTTTAAACTGAGAGAATGTATAATTTTAAGGGAAAATCTGTTGTTTCCAAATTTCATGGCGTCAACAAATCCCAAAAAAGTTGGGACAAGTCCATTTTTACCACTGTGTGGCATCCCCCCTTCTTCTTACAACACTCAACAGACGTC